GGGGGGGGGGGGGGGTCTTTGTTCTCTTCATGCTACCAGTTAACAGTGGTGCAAGATTTCAGGATTATGCTTGATTTCGGGATTTTCAGACTTCATTTTGACCATTTTTTCATATTGTCCAAATGCAATGAGAAATGGCAAGCTACGTTTTCGGGATTTTCAGTTATTACAACTTTCACCCATAGTTAATGACTCAAGATTGATAAAATGTGACAATAAGTAGCTTAAGCTTATATATTATGTTCTTGTGATAAAACAGAGGCAATGTTTCTTATAATTGAACTACTTCTAATTTATCTCTGTTCATAGTAGACTAAAATTTCAGTGTAAAATTTAAGACTTATTTTAGGCTTAAACTCTCTTGTGAAATGGTCCCCTAGTACTGGTTTTGTCTTTGCTCTCCTGTGTGGAATATCAACCGTTGCCCAACCTCTTTATGGAGAGACACTTGTGGTTTGAAATAGGGATATTAAGGAATGTTTTATGGTATCTCAGATAGCTTGAAAACACTTGATTATGTCAGTTCAGCTAGACTCATTGGAGCAGGGAGGAAGGAATGGTTTCACCACAAAATTTTGATAGCTTGTAGTAGCACTTCAAAGTATTTTGTTGAGGATGGATTTGAGGTCTGGGTGATAGTGCATGAACTGGTGTGTTTTTATCTTGGGCAGATTTTTGAATTGGGTGTTTCTGGGAGTGTATGAGAAAGTTTTTAATTAAAGTTGTAAGATGATTCATTTTAATTGATGTAAAGAGAATGTGGAACTTTATTCAATGTTTAAAGGATTGAATTTGCTGTATGGTCAAATTTAATAAAAGATTTCAAATCTTGAAGATTTAAGTTTTGGCAGTTTAAGACAGGGAAGGTATTGGCAACTCCTGGTTGTTACTCTTAAATTTCTTATTCCAATATTTTATTTTTCAAGATTTTCCATAATTGGTAAAACTAACTCACAAATTTATACCTTCCAGAAACCCAATTAATCTTTTGGAGTAGTATAAATTTTTTCAGTGTTTACCAAGTGTTTTTCTTTAACATATGGTCAGTAATTTATTCCATTAAAAGTTTGTGAAAAAATTAAAGTGCGTGTTATTTGCAGTCCGTATCTTCATCATCATCCTTGAGCAACAGTGGCAACATTCTCAGACCAGAGTTGCTTCTGTCTGATAAGTCCTAGTATCTCGTTAGGTTGCAGACCAGATTCATGAGGATGACCGAGGAGGTTAAATTTGGTCTGCCTCTGTTATCCTTCCCGCCAGGTGGTGTCCAAAATATAAATTCGGAGACCCGTAGGTCTAATGTGTGCTTGGTTGCCGACAACAATGGGATTACTGATTCAGTGCATCTCTCTCTTTGTTAAATTTTAATGAACTAGACACAGGTGAGAGTTATGAATTTGGCTTTATTGATCGACCCAATTTATCACTCGCTTATTTCATTGCCATTTTTCCCACCCGAGTTTCAGAGGTTGCTGGCATTGTGGACACATGTTGGTTGTGGTGATTATTTCCTAGATAAACTGTCAAACTCAGGGTGTCTCTCACACAAAGGTGGTCACTTCTGGTCATGGTCTGGCTTTATTGGTGTGGTCAGTGTAAGTGCTTGGTCAGTGGGGTGTCCAGCTGGGATTCTGTACTAGTAAGTACTAGTTCTGCACTGTTGGTCAGTCTTCAAGACTTGGTCAGTCACACCTTTAGGGGACAGTAAACTTGGTTTGGTTTGAAAAGAAGTTACTTTTTATTTGTTGTTTAAGTTTAAGCTATTTTTTCAGCACTTTAATATGTCTTCATTTCTTGATTCTTTTCAGTTTTAAATTAAAAAATGCTCCATAAATTCATCCCAAATAAAGTATTTTAGGTCTCTTTGAATGCTTTATTTGGCTGAAGCAGAGTAAAAAGGTAACATTCTTTCTTTGCATTTCCAGTTCTGATCTCTTCGCATTAATTAATTATTTATTAATTATTTTAGCAGGGATTGTAATGTAAGTGACATTGCCTTTTTAGCTGGAGGATTGTATGCAAGTATATCTTGGTCACTGAGCATAAGGAAGTAAAGGATACTTTTCCCAGATGTAAGAAGTAATCCTAGAATTTCCCAAGACCTACTTAATTAGATTAATCTGCCGTTTATATTGTATCATAACCTCAGATGTCAAAATAAAAAGATTTCTGTGAGGATTCCGCATCCATATCAGATAATGCAATAAATACGCAAAGCAACGCAAGCAATTGCAAAATTTTCTCAGGACTCGGCTTCAATTAGATTGATAAATCAATTTTTTGTTATCTTCCGTCTTAGATTCTAGGGTCTTAATTGGGAGCAAAGCTAAGCAGTTATTCATACTGTACAGAATCAAATGTTTGGTTAGTCTCTTTTATTATTTTTTTTCTAATTGGGTGTCCTAACGGGGAATGTTTTTGCAGGTGCTGGCCATGCTTGTACAAAAAATATTCCCTGGAAATGAGTCCATTGAGACCCCGACTCGGTCAATAAATTTGTAGGAAAGGGAGATAGAATTGTGTTCGGTGATAATTAGGGAAAGACAATGCTTGGCTATTATTTTGAAGTGCCTTATGGAGATTTAGACTTATGTGCTAGTTTTACACAAAGATACAAAGGTTAATAATGAAACAAAGTGACTGAAAGTGGTTTTTAACTTAAAGAAAAATGTTGGATTACTTCTGTAAGTCCACGTTTATCACATAGGTAGTATAGTAGTGTAATCAAGTAGTTATTGATCTATAATTCTTTTTTGAAAACAAGCATAATTATTTAAAAAAAATAAAGGCCACTGCAGGTTCAACTTGGGTCAAACAAGATTAAAATGTCAATTTCATGTGAATGAAATTGTTTATTTTTTCCCTTTCTAATAATTTTCAGAGATCTCAGGCAGGGTTTATTTTTATATAGGTCAATTGCCTTATTTGCAGCCCCCCCCTCCCCTCCTTACATTTACATTATCTAGATCATTTCAACCTATTTTTTCCCATGCAACAATCTTGATATTGATTGCTTTAATAGACACACTTTTCTCCACTTCTTCCGTGGTAATTATTCTTCACGTTAAGGCCAAACAACATAAATAAGTTGATTAAGAAGTGGGAAAACCCCTAATTTTGCAGAAATCAGAATTTTGCATATATGTATCTATTTTTCAAATGGAAAAGTGCAATGGGCCTTTGTTTTGGTACTGGGATCAATTTATGCTTGTTCAGCATCGTACAGTAAAAAAAAAAAAAAAAAGCAAATATGAATTCTTTGGAAAAAATAATCGCACCATCGAAAAATTTTTAAACCTTGTGGAAAAGATAAAAAATAATAATAATTTTTTATGGGTATGATCATTTGAAACTTCAGAGTAATCCCTTTTATAGAGAGATTATCGCTTGTTAACCAACTTATCAGTTTTCTCTGGCCTAAGTGTTTTAATTTCCTACCCCCTCATTACTTGTTATGAAGAAGTTCTTGCATGGTTGTTCTTTTGAAAGGGTTTATTAACCTTGAGCTGACACTTAATTAACCCTCTCTGACCTTATTAATGAACTGATCTACAGAGGAGACTGCCAGGTGTTTAAGTTTAATTGTTCCAAAGAGTAGAGTACACAAACTATTTCTCATCTCTTCTTAGTTTTTTGTAATCTTCCATCATTTCACTGGCATTTCTTTTTATCGTTTTGTCTCCACCTCTCTCTCTCTCTCTCTCTCTCTCTCTCTCTCTCTCTCTCTCTCTCTCTCTCAGTTTTGTACAAATGTCCCCTGTGTAACTCTTAGCAATTAACCCTTCACGTCATCCATTGTTTTGGAGAGACTGGAGTCTGCATACCAATTGCAATTCATAATTTTAAATTGGATTACCACAAACACAAATGATTAGTTTCTGCTGATATTTGACATTTTTTTTCAGCAAATTGAAATAGTGTTTTCAAAAAAAAAGTTTGAACTATTGGAAAAAACCCATTTGTCTGACAGTCAATTTGATTCAAAACTTTTATTAACTTAATTAAAATTATATCATTTTGTTTTATTTTATTTAACTTTTTACTATAATCATTATTGCCTTCACTTTTGTAGTTGCTTATTTATTTTGCTTATTGTGATTATTGCTTTATTATTATTTTTGTTAATTTTTGCTGAAAAAAATTTCAAAACATTTCACTTTCATTCTAGCTCTCAACGATAGAGCGCCAAGTCTTCGACTTCATGGGATACATGTGGGCGCTAATCCTTGGCAACTTCCTCCAGCTCATCTTTGTGATCATGGGTCTCTTTGGTGCTGCCCAGTATAGACCAAAATTTATAGCAGTGGTGAGTATAGTTTCTTGAGCCAGTTTTGCAAAAGAATGGTAGCCTGAAAAAGGGCCCCTTTGGATTTGAAAGCACATCAATGACTTGATGTCATGGGGGGGGGGGGTTTGAAAGGGGGCTTTACGCCTCCTTGTTTGTAGAATAGAATAGAAATGAGAGAGAGAGCAGAGCTTGGGCAGTTTTTCTGAGTCAAAATTTGTTTAGGAGCCATTTCAGTAAAAAAATAATACTGATGGAACTTGGAGAGAAGGGAAAATATTGTGTGGGGAGGGGGGGGGGTGAAGATATTCATTACCCATTTCTGCGAGTCTCACTGTGGGGGATGGGAAATTTATGAAAGCAAATTGCTTCTGGGGAATTTGAATAATGCTGATAGATACACAACAGTTGGAAAACTGGGTGAGGTAGTGTTTTTTTGCCACCCCCTTCTTTAAGTCTCTGTATATGTCTCATCTCTTTTAAGGATGAGAGAGAGAGTGAATGCATTCTATCTGAGGATTGCATTTGGGATTCAGGTCCTTTCCCCAGAGCTCCCATCAAATCATTAGCACGAGAAAAAGGCAATCTGTATACATTTGGCATTTCTGAGATTCATGCCTGCTGGTCCTGTAAATAAGTATGATATTTGAGCAGTTTTGTTACCCAGCATCTACCTGTGTGTTATGTACCTGTATTGGGACAGTTAATGGGTCGTGAACAGGTAGAACAGGTGGGATAGATATTCTCCTGGAATGAACTTGCACACCTGTGCAGTGGGATGCCTGTGGGTTCGGGAATACTATGGTTGAAGATCAGGCTTGGCCTCGTGCAAGGCAAAAGAAAAAAAATTGGAGAGGTGTTTAGTTTTTGCCTTGCGTGTTTTAGTTGAGACTGGTTTGTAATGTGTGTGTGTGTGTGTGTGTGTGTGTGTGCGTGCGTGTGTGTGCG